GATTGTTCCGGTCCTGCTTAAAAAGCACCAACAAACAAAGATCTATTTTACACGTCCAAGTATGGTCCATGAAAGGGTATTTTATATTACAAAGCAGAGTTTGGCACTTGTAATAAAAAAATGAACCCCAATCTAAAGTTTAACTATTGAAAATTGCCATCTGTCACTCTGCCGGAAATCCAATAACTGTAATCCTTACAAGTATGGTTTGAACCTAAAAGTAAGGGTCGAAAGGTAATACTAAAAAATAAACTGTTTTGGGCAAACTGACAACGAGGATCCGTTAATTTTGCACGAGAAATTACTTCCATACTTACGACAAAGTTGACGGGTCCAGTCACTGCATTTTAACGATTTCATTATTGCATGTGCGATTATAAAAGGGATTTGTTCTTTATGAGAAATATTCCAAAACATTTTCAGGATTGAGAACCGGAATCCAGGCGCTGTCATGCCACGAAAGACCTAGTTGACTTTCGGATGGTTCGGCCGCCATCTTGATATTCTTTTCAACAAGTTAAAGAGAAGGGATTGGGTATTCGTTTGCTTACCTCCTTACATGACGTACTAACTTTTCCCTGGTCTGACGATGAAAAGGCCCTCTCTGATAATTTCGTTCCGGGCCATTACAGGTGGGAACAGCGAAATATTTGGTTTTTTCGTTGATTTCATTGAACAACCGAAGCATGCATCATCTTGGAAAAGTCGTGGTAGAGGCAGCAGTAACTGCAGCTGTAAAAGGAGGAGTTTCAGCCGGAGTCAAAGCAGCAACAGGAAAAAAGACAGAAGAGACAAAAGACGACCGAAAAGCCACGCCAGCTATATCGCTCACAGTACTGAAACAATTTTCACAAAAAGATCTTCACGCAAGCATCAGATTTTTCAACGAAGGCTTTATGTATCTCTGTAAAGTACTTGGCGAGGGAGTTTTCACTGGAAGACACGTAGGCGATGATGTTTCAAGCGAATCAAAAGCGAAAGCGTTACCCGGAAGTGTCCAGGAGCATTTCATAATTTCATCTGCAGCTTTGCTGGAAGCGATATTTCTGTTAAAGGATTTGAAAGACTTGGATGAATCCGCTGCAAAGGCACTGACAGATGCGAAGGAGAGGTTCAGAGATGCTCGAAGAAAAGCGACGAAAGCTTTCAGCAACGAAGTCTTAAGCGAAAGAGAGCGATTTTTTGCTGCGCGATATCGGGTCGCCTCGACGTTATTAGAGAAAGTGGACAGCCATGAAGACGCGTTAGGAGCTTGTGAATTGTGTCTTCAAGAGCTACACGCCCTACCTGTTGTTCAAAAAGGCTTTAAGGAACATGGAGGGTCGAAAATTATTCGAGCAGATGTGCGTGACATCAACAGGCTTGTTTGCGATGTCACGCAAGTCATCGGTGGCGTTGGACCGTTTCTCAGCTGGCCGTGTGTCGTTGTTGGTAAAAGAAAAGTCGATCCCTTGCATCGCGAAGAAATGATGTCATCCCATTGCTGTATGTCAAAGTCGTTTGGTCAGGAGGGGGTTGACGAGCATAAATTGACGTTTGCTTGGAGTATTACGTCCAACACAAGAGGAGATTTCATTGTGCCCGACAGTATAGATCGNTGTAATCCACATATTGTGACATGCCACAGAAGAAAACCCCCCTCAAACCTGTTAAAATTGTTCCTATACTCAGATAATTTGTCAAACGGTCCAAAATTTAATCATCAAATGTCAAAAGAATGAATTTCAACCATTAACCGTCGAAGAAGCAGCTAAATATAAGTCGTCAAATGGTTTCAAGTTCTTAAGTTCTTTCAAATCTAATTATTGTTAGTCACGTGCCACAAATTAATAGTTTAATATCTTTAGGAGTTTTTAGACTGCATGGTAAACAAGTGAAAGATCTCGAGGAATTTCTAGACTGCATTGAATTAACAAGTCTATCAATCTCTTGATGGTAAACCAATGTTACAGATTTCCAAATAAACTCCTTCTATGGTCATTTTGATTGAATTTCACCCAAAATAACAGTTTGAAATTATATTTAACAGTCCTTTGCAATTCCTTTTCGGCGAAGTCTGTCGCGTATGTCAAGAATAATGCACGAGAAAAATAATGATGTTGGAGCTCCGCGCAGAACTAAGGGAGTACCGCTCGGTGCATGTGCTGACATGGTTTCTTTCTTTTTTTTTTTTTTTGGCTATTTTTTTGAGTCATCAAAATAGGAGGGACTGCTCGTAATCTTATTAATATTCAATCAACTTTCTACGTTGACAACTTATTTCAGCCGGTCCACGTTACGCTAGGCCATTCCCGCCATACGACCCCGTCGAGCGTCTCTGTTGAAAGACCTTGAAAGCTGTCGTCAGCCTTTATACTGTAAAAGGGGAAGAAAAACCTGTTGGGCGATTCAAGAAACGAATTGCTCTCGGCGAAATTAAAACCGAAAATTACAACCGAAATTAAAACGCTGACGTACTAATTTCTTTCCTCGGTATCAACGACTTGGTTATTGAATTTGGTCTTGTTTCAGTTTGAGCTTGAGCTGTACCGGCAGGTAAAATTGCTGAAAGGGAAAACTGATTGAATTATAGTCCAACAACCCGGCAATGACTTGAGTTGGAGCTACCACAACTATTGGCGGAGACGGAGGGAGCGAGTGAAACGGTAAGTCGTGTTCTGAAGTATTGTCGTCTTGGCAGTATTTTGTTGAGCCATTTGTACTCATTTATGGATTTACCACTAGCTCACAGTCTAAGCTGTAACATTATAAAGTAACACCTTTGGTAATGATGTATTCCCATAGCCGTTTTATATCTCAAACTTATTTGTTCTTATTTTAAGCAAGGAAATGCGCGGCTAGCCTTTGTTTTCACTTTTGATTTCGTTTCTGTTGTTTGCCCCACGGTTATAATTTAGCTCGCGCTCTGAGGATTCTAACCAGATCAGCAAAAGTCTGCGTTGGTGTGTTTACATCTATATTATCAGAAATTAAGCCGTTTTGAAAATAGTGATTAATTATTGTTAGATGTCTTGAAAGTACGCTTCACCTCGCTTTGTTAGACAAAGAGTAAACAGTTCTGAATTTGCATCGAATTTACGTGTGATTTATCATCATGAGTAACTGTCATATCATCGGCAACTAATATACTGTTGACCGGATAACGTTCAGTCGGTCAGATCGATAAGGTGAGTAAAATTTTGTTTGGCGGGCCTAGATCTCCTTACAATGTACCTTAGTGATCTTAGCAATACTTCAAGGCATTTCTTACATTAATTTTGTTTCGAAGAGAGCACATGATACTTTTTTGGCCAAGCTGGAAGGTTTGCGATGACCCGTCATGCGTGACAGCCATTCAGAAGTTTCGTA